TAGTAATATATATATATATATATATATATATATATATATAACATCAAAAATAATCCAACAAGCTTACACAAAAAATATATAAAAGTTTTAAAAAAAAGATATATTCTTTTTTTATCATATTCATCAGAAAAAACATATTTTTTTAAAAAACATGTAATTTATTAAAAAAAAAAAATTTAGAACCCTAAAATTGAGCCAAAGAACACATAAATTTTAGAGTAAAAAATCAACCCCAAATCTTTCAATTTTTGAACAAATTGACATTGGGATATGATAGATACTTCAATTAAGATTCAAATGCCCCAAATTTCATGAACATTAATTGACTAGTGAGATCTTTATTCAAAAAATTGCGGATTTTTCACTTCACGAAAATTTCAGGAAAAAAATGCAGCAAAAAAAAAATGATATAAAAACATTTAATCAATAGTAAATCAAAGTAACTATTTTATTTGATAGATGATGCCTTTATAATCAAAATTCAGTGATCAATTCGATAAAATTGTTCAATTTATCAATCAAAAATCAATTTGTTTGGATGAAAAACAGTTCTTCGATCAGCAGTACTTGGGGCCCAAAAAAACCTCAAATCTTCATTTTTTTGGAAAAAATTGAAATATGTAAACATTAAATCATTCAACAATTAATCAAAGCCCTCTATTTTTATGAAAATTTATGAGGTATTGAAGCAACATTTGATAGAATGGCAGAAACTTCTAATTTTCAAAAATCCCCATTTCAATCCGCCAAGAACTCTTTGTTTTTCGATTTTTGATTCAATAATCTATGATTTATAGAAACTTTCAGGTGTATAACATCAATATTTGACTGGAAAACAAAAAAAACTGGAAAATGGAATAAAAATTAAGCTGCAAAATATTGTTCTATGAAAAATAACGGGCATGTGTCAAATAACGGCCGTTATTTGATGCGTTAAAACGACATTATATCAGTGTTAAAACAGTAAACCGGACCTGTTAGAAAAACCAGCCGGTTTGATCAAAATACTGCCGGTTTGACATTGAACCGGCAGGTTTTGGTCTCGAATTTTTTTGGACAGTTCCGTCATATGTGGTGTGCCATAAAACCACTCGCCACCCCGCCGGTAGCGATCTGACAGGCCAGTTCCGGTTCCGGTTCTAACCGGCCGGTTTTGCAAACACTGACATGCATAGTTGAGATTGGAATATATTTAACATAGTTAAGCAATGGTAAGAAATGCATATCAGTACCTTCTGAGATAATGAGGAGGTAAATTTTCATGACAATCCATTGAGTTGCAGAACTCTGCCAACTTTTCTTGAATGTAATCCTGGGTTTGTTCTGGTTTGTAAACCAGATGAATCCCTCCCTTTTTCAATTGAATGGATGGGAACATCGGTGGAGATCTCTTAGCTACTTCGATTTGATCCCCACCTTCTAACATGGGCAGAATGTGACCACCTTCTTGAAAATGGAATAAATAGACTTGATCTTGGTGAGCTTTAGGAACCCCCAATCTAAGCATAGTACTAAACCTTCTTGTACCGTTTCTAATGATCATAAACAGGACATCTGGAATGTCAGGGACAAAGTCAATTGGAATCTCACTGTTGTGAGAAATAACAAAGCACAATATCACTCCTCTAATCTTGAGGTCTTGATCTGAAAGTCGCGGTACTGTACAAGATAGCTTCTGAAACATGAACCAGTCTGGAACCTTGCTTCCCGAAATACCAAAGCACCATAAATGATTGAATGTCTCCTGCATATATTACATTAAAGGAACCAAGTTCAGGGGTCTAGAAAACAAACTAAAAAAATGAACAAAAGGGCTGGTCTTGTAAGGGAAGAAAGATACCTTAGCGATACTCCTTGATACGCGAGGGCTGCATCCATTCAATAACAATTGTCTCAAAGATTTCATCTGATCGATGCCCTGTATATCAATCAGCCTCTCACAGTTTGTGAGACGCAATTCTTGTAGTTTAGAAACGTGAGAGAGGTCGGATATAGTTTGCAAAGCTGTGCAGTTCACAGCATCCAGAATAGCCAGACTGGTAGGGAGTTCAGGGATAGAGCGCAGCTGCGTACAATGAGATAAAAATAGTGTTTTCAGCTGAGAAAGACCTCTCATACTACTAGGAAGCTGATGGAATTTGTTATTCCGGAGTCTCAAGGTGGTCAATGAATACAACTTTTCAAACTCATCAGGAATGCTACCTTCTAGGTTACAGTGATTTGCATTCAATTCTTCCATCGAATGAAGACATGAAAGAGCAGATGGAAGTCTTGTCAATTTACCATTGTTGTGAATATCGAGAGTCCTTAAACTTGTAAGACTTCCAAAGTTTTGAGGGAACTCTTTGAACTGTGGACAATCTGGCATTTTCAGCACATTCAAGCTAGAAAGACTGCCAAAGTCGTCTGGTAATTTGACTATAGCAGTTTCCTCTATGTTCAGATGGCGCAAAGACTTCATCTTTCCCATTGACGCTGGCAACCTACTGAATTTCTTGCACTTTCTCAAAGATAACTTCTTAAGGTTCACCAATGAGCCTATTGAATCAGGTAACTCTGTTATGATAGTGTTATCAAGGAGCACGATAGTAAGTCTACTCAAATTTCCAATTGAAACGGGTAATCTACTAAACAATATGCTTCTCCTTATATCTAGCTCCTCAAGCTCACTAAGAGTTTCGATGGAATCAGGTAATCCTATTATCTGTGTCCCATCCACACGAAGTTGAACGAGCACATTCAATTCCCCGACAGACTCAGGAATTCTATTAAGTGATTTGCAACCAGTTACCCATAACCTTCTCAAATTCGACAGTTTCCCTAATGAATTTGGTAGTTCAGAAATGGATGTTTTCTCCAAGAGGAGATCTAATAGGGACTCTAGATCACCGATTGTATTTGGCAACACTGTAAGAGAGCCACACCATCGAGCACTTAGAATTTCGAGCTTTTTTAATGAACCAATGGAGTTTGGTAGTTCTCTGATGGCAGTACCATCTAAAGTGAGCTCTTGTAGAGATAGCAATTCACCAATTGAAGTGGGCAATTCTTTAAGAAATAGACATCCACTTAGAGAAATCTTGCGTAGTCTCTTCAAGGATCCAATAGATTTAGGCAATTTTTCTATGGCGGTTCTGTCAATGAGAAGCTCTCTTAAAGACTTCAAAGAACCTAACTGCTCTGGTAACTTGCTAAGTTTAACACACTCAGATAGGAGAAGCTTTTGAAGAGAACACATCCTTGAAATATCATTTGGCAGTTCCTTGAGGTCAGTACAGCCTGTCATATTTAGATAAATTAATTCGTTAAGATGGCCAATGGATCTATGCACCTCAACCAGACTAACACATCTTTGGAGATTCAACTTCTCTAAGTTCGGAAATGGAGAAAAGTTGGGAGTTCTCAATAGAAAATAGCAGTCCCCGAGGTCAAGAACCTTCAACTTGTGATTTGACTGCCAGCAGAAAATGGTTATAAGAAAAATAAATAATGTGAAAGGTTCAATAACAACAACAAACAACAATAACAGCAACAGCAATGACAACAGCAGCAGCAGCAACAACACCAGCACAAACAACAATAATAATAAGAATTGATATAATGAAAGGAAATTACAGGAGAGAAGGTTAAATCTAACAAATGGACCTTATTTTGAGATGCCTCCTTCCATACATGCTTGATCTTGCTACGTGACAAATCAAGGACAACAAGCTTTCCAGGATTAAAATCATTTGGCACGGACCCAAAAGGGCAACCTTGCCATTGTAGCCATACTAATTCTGAAGGAAGAACTTTAAAACTTCCATCAATAAATGCATAACTGACTCTCAGTAGTTTCAGATTGATCATCGGCTCAAATGCTTCAATATCCCAATGCCTTTCCTGTGTTGAAGATTCATCTTTTTCTCCTAGGTTTAGGATTAAGCCTCGAACCTTTTCTGTTCCCTGATAAACAATACAGGTATGTCAGTCAAGTCGCAAGATGCCATTAAATAGATCAAATCTAATTGTATCAACTCCACGAAACCCAAAGTAACTTCAACATATGAGAAAAATAAGCATGTAGCAGACTCTCACCTTGCGATATTTCAACACATCAAAGACATCGTCTTGAAACCACAACCTACTACGTCTGCCAGGATCTCCAAGGTTTTCTAATTTAACAATACGCCTCCCCATGTCGCGAAGTTGGTCATGCATCTGCAACTTATTATCACCATCAAATGTTATTAGTGACTTCTGTAAGAGATTTTTTATTGGAATTGAAGCATAGAGATCACAACCTTTCCATATATCAATGGCATAATCTCGATCCATTCCTATGAAGAAGCACGCAATGTCAAGAAAAATCCACTTATCTTCTTCAGCTAGTCCATCGTAGCTTATCTTCAGCTTGAATAGAATATCATCTTCAGGAATATTTTCCAATTTTCTCACTGCATCTTCCCACTCCTCTATGGTTGTCTTATCTAATAAATATGATCCAAAGACTTTGAGGGCTAGGGGAAGCCCCCCAGCAATCGTAACCACAATATTTGAAAGCTTTATGAATTCATGTCCAGGTTGGCCTACTCCAAATGCATACTTACTGAAGAGTTGAAGTGATTGGGAGTCATTCAATACTTTGAGCTCATAGATATGACACCTATCTACTCTATGAACATTCAAAACATGCTCATCCCTGGTGGTGACAATTATCCTACTTCCAGGACAGTACCATTCCCTTTTACCAGCCAATTTCTCAAGTTGCTCCTTATGATCGACATCATCCAATATAACAAGAACTCTCTTAGACCGTACTTTATTCCGGATAAGAAGCATACCCTTATCAACGTGATTTATATCTGGCTCTCCTTCATGAAACAAATCACGAAGAAGTTGCTTTTGCAAGCTCACAAGTCCATGATCCCTTATATCTGAGAGGAAACAACTGCCTTCAAAACCAGAAAATATTTTGTTGTAGACTGCCTTGGCAAGAGTGGTCTTGCCAATCCCACCCATACCATGGATCCCAATAATTCGGACATCATCAGCATTGACATCTAAGAGTCCCACAACCTCACTGACTCGAGAATCAAGTCCAACGATATGATCAGCAACATACAAAGACGTGTAATTCAAGTTGGCTAAAACCCATTCAACAACTTTATCGATCAAATCTGCTTCATTCCTATAGATAGAAAATCCTTCATCATCAGAAAGAAAGAACTAAAATACTTTTTTTGAGAAGCCAACATAAGGAATGTAAAATTAGGGGACATTGGTCGAAGTAATAATCCCAAACATATTGGCCACAGTATAGTGGTAACCATCCTTTAAGAAAAGAATGAAATATATAAGAAACGATTTCATTAATCTATGAACAATTCATTAGGTGACAGCTTGGTAGTCAATGTGAGAGTAGAAGCTCCAAACGGGGAATTAGGGATTTTTCTAATAGGAGATAATGGTGTTTTTCCATGGAGATGGAAAATTCGTCCACCTGGTCTTATCAATTTGCAAATTCTTTCTCAGCTGGTTAAAAGTTGATTATCAATTTTAAATGGGCTTAAATCAGTTGATTATTATCTAAGGATGTGCAAAAGTGCGATTGGACCAAAATGTTTGATACATAGTAGCAAAATATGGGCTCGTTAAAGTTGCTCTATCCTAATTGCTCTATTCTAATAAACAATTTTAAAATGCCTAAAAGTATTTCTAGCTGAAATTGGTCAAAGAAAGAGCACAATAAATAAAGATGCTCTACTAGAAGTTTTACCAGCCCAGTAGAATTACCCCTAGATTAAACTTCAATAAGTGAACCACATAAAAATTTGCCATGTGAAGCAAGAAGATTTAATTGGCCATACATCATGAACCCTGTTGCTTTTTCCAATATTCTATTCATGTGGTAAAACAAGGGGTTCATGCTTCTCGGCCCTCATACTGGATGCACCTTTGTCAACAGGGTAAATCATGTTAAAACCATCTGTCTTTTTTCGAAATAAGTATATCATGTTTGAAACTATATCAGTCCCCTCATCCACTGAACAACAAGCACCACCAAATCAGCTCAATAGTAGATTCACCCCCACCCCCTCTCTTCCTATCAACCTTCCACTATGCATTGGCTATTACATCAGAGAGACTTGAATCAGGATAAGAATTCAAGCAATCTAATGATACTGGCTCTACGATCCCTCCCTCAAAATATCTAATGATATTAGCTCCCTCCCTCCCTACCCTTTTTCTATTTTTTTGAAGTGTTAACAGTGGGAATGGAGACTAAGACATTATGTTGAGGCACCTGCCGGCCTAATCACCAAGGCCCTGACCTCCCTAACGCCTTCCCCACTAAACAAAGGTTAGTTGCAATCCCTTCCATCGCTCCTCATAAAAATAGGTAAAAATGATGTTTAATGTTGTATTTCCTATGAAATTCCCACATTTATAAGAGGATCACTTATTTATAGAACACAAGTCATTGCAGAGGCTGGGTATAGAGATAACAGGTCCCATAGGAATAGCATAATGAGATCTAGAATTGAGAGTCCATGACATAAGAACTATCGTTCTCAATGGCAAGTCTGAATACATGAAGCTAGATTATGACTATGTAGATGATATTCCAGATGATGCTACCACCAATCTTACCACCTACTACATCAACAAAAGTAGTTCTGTACTTTTGTTTGCCTAGTTATCAACCCAGGAAAGGCACAACCATTTGGTTAACAATGTTTTTGGGTACCACAATTTAGGTGGATAGGAACCTGAGGCACGTATAATTTGTAGATTAGTATTTTTGACATGTATGCAATGATCAGGTCATTGATTGAAAAAATCATACAAGGTGTATTTTAAGGTTTATGTGAACTCACACTTGTTCATACAATGCCTTTCCTCTTATAACAGTGATTTCCATGCTTTTTAGAACCTTGTGATTAATCCCTGCTTTTTGAATCACTTCATGATGGTAATTGCCACCAAACTCGAAAAAAGAAGGAAATATATGAATAAATTGAGATAAAAAGGATTTGGGTTCTGCTCCGTAACCGAATTTACGGAGTCCTTCATTGCAATCTCAGAGAGAGAGAGAGAGAGTATAAAATGCAAGAGAGGTCATACCCATCTCCAAGATCCCAACCAGAAATTTTGCCAACTTCTTTGAGAGAATCTCTCCACCTCTCCACTCTCTTCCCATCATACCTATTTTCATGATCCTGGAAAGCCGCCTTAAAAACCCCTGCTTGCCTTCCGACATGAAAAGGCTCGACATGGTAAAAAACAGGAAGAATTGTTCTCCCCTCCAACCTCACCACAAAAGACAGCTCCTCAAGGCAGGAGACACAGGAAGGGTAATTGCTAGAAAATATACATATAAAAACCTGAGAATTTTCAATGGCTCTCTGCGTATCACTGGGTAATATGATCTCCCCTATTTTCGTATTATCATCACCATCTTCTTGTTGTTGTTGTTGTTTTGTGAAGGAAGTGGAGAGACCCGATTGTTTGAGAGCGTTGTGGAGATGGGCTGTGAAGCCCTTTCCCGTGTCCTTAGAGAAGTTCAAGAACACATCCATGGTGTTCTCTCTCTCTCCTCTACAAAGTCAAGCAAAGCCGCACAGTAATCTAGTCAATATAAGAAGACTGGAACTCTAGGACGGGACACGTTTCTCTCTCTCTCTAGGTTGCAGAGGGATGACACGAGGAATTTGGTCCCTCAAGGTTTTATGCAAGTTCCCGACCCAACCACTTTTCTAAGGTAGCTTGACAAAAGCGTGCGGCTATGTATGGAGGCCCGGCACGGTTTACCATGCATTTTAAAGGTTCGGCGTGGGCTACAAAATTTGGTCCGAGGGTTGGAATAGCGTCCGTATCAGGTGGCTTTGAAATGGCCCAACATTTTTTTTGTTTTTTTTATGTATTTATGACTCGGCATGATCCGGGCCTGTATGTGGTCTGACTGGCCCGGTCCAGGACAGGCTAGATGCCTTGCGTCGACAATGTTGTGACGGAAAAGTCTCAACGGTGAAGGGTGTTGTGCGGCTCTCGTCCAAAAGTGGATTGAAACAACAAGGAAGAAATATTTAAAGGGTGCGGTTTGTAAAGTGTCTAAACAATCAAATTAGAGCCTATCTTCAAATAGGATCAATGTAATATATTTTCAACTTTATTTATAAAATTTAAAGCTTCAAAAATAGTATGGATAGACATATCTATGAAAACTTAAAAATCTTTAAAATTATTGTCCAAAAATGTATTATAAAAATATATTATTTCTAAAACTTGAAATCCATTTTTTTTCTATTGGCCGAAAAGACCAAAGTCTTCTTGTTGTAGGCTCCAATTTGATTGTTTAGAACCTCGGCTCTATATACAATTTTCCCATATTTAAAAATTGTCCTAACGTTTATTAAAGGAAAAAGTTTAATTGAGTCTCTAAACGATCAAATTAGAGCCCACATCGAAAATTTTATTATAAGAGGTTGTTTTGATGCCTAAATATCTTCAAATTGATCATCTTGACATCAAGATGCATGGACATGAGAAAAAAATAAATTTCAAGTTTTGGAAATAGTGCATCTTGTAATGTATTTTTGCATCATCAATTTTTAAGATTTTTGAGTTTTCATAGAACTGCTAGATCTACACTATTTTTGAAGGTTTAAATTTTATAACTAAAGATAAAAATATATTTTAAAGTTATCACAAAGATTTTCAGTATTGAAACCACATTTCTCAACACTGAAATATTATTTGATTTAATTCATTTAATTTTGGGAAATTTATTGATGGACCACACTTTCTAGACGTGTTCCACTCCAATACTTTTTAAGCAACAACCTCTAACCCCAGTACTCTTTTTTTTTTTTTTACATTTGAGAAAACAATCTTTTTTAGGATAAAAATAAATCCCATGTATTTAAAATAGTCTCTCTCTCTAAAAACTCGAATTTTGTTATGGTTCCACATGTTTTTTTTTTACTGTCATGGACCTAGTATGTCCGTGACGGTACCGCCATGGACATGCTAGGTCCATGGCGGTCGAAAAACACATGTCGTCTGATTTTTCGAACGGTCATGAGCCTATGGGTGGAAACACGGTTCATTTTCACCCATAAATATTGCGTAGATGTTCTCTCTCTCTC